CATTAAAATTTCCTCTAATGACTGCTCCAGAGAGCTCAAGAATTATTTATTTATTTATTATTGCTGATCATTCTCTGCTTGGCCTAAGACAAGTTATAGGGAAGTCAACATGAAAACTTCTAGAAGGACTGAAAGGTAAAGGCAGTCAATGCTTCAAAAAGTGTTTAAGCTTTGGATTGTCCTTGATTCCTGGACAAGAAACATGGAACTAAAAAAGAAGTTTAGTACTGTAAGAATGCTGCTTCTTTAAAACAGAAAATCCTTGCTTCCTCTTGCTCATAATAGATTGAATTATTGTCATAAGAAAAGGATGTCCAACAAATGATTCACTGATCCTTTGACTCTTTTTCTGAATTTTCATTCTTTGTTAACTGGAGATGAAATGGTTAAAATAAAATGTCAGCTAATTTCAGAAATCAATTTAAATGACTTAATTTGGTCTTTCACTTTTCCTTCTTTGAAATCCACATAAGCATTTTTAAAATATTTGAATTGTTTAATAGGGAAGAATCTTTGAATTTCAGAATTCTCAGAGTATATTCTCCAATTTTTTGCAGGTTAGCTTTCTTATTCAAATAAAAAATCCAAGGAAAATGTTGTGCTCCAGGTTGTGGTTTTGGTTTTTTTGCAGCACATGAACTACTCTCTTAAGTAATTTGAAGTTGCATCATTTTTCAGGAAATGGAAAGGGGACACTTACATTGTGAGGACTGCAATCAATGTCAGGAAACAAAATGTGCATGAACTGTTGTATTGAAAATGAATTTGCTCTGTAAACTTTAACCTGCGTCACAATAAAAAAAAAAAATTAAAGAAAAAATTTTATAATTTTACAAATTATAAAACTAACAATAATATAAAAGAAATAGAAACTAATTCTGAAATCATCCATAATCTTTCTCCATTGAGAAAGCCATTTCTTCTTAACAGCTTAGTAGCTTCCCAGGAAACATCCGCCTGGGTCAGATGGATACTGTGGAAAAGCTCATAAGAAGTAATGACTAGAGGCGGGGCAAGATGGCGGACTAGGCAGAAGGATTGCACAGACCCTCTTCAACAAAGAAAAGGGAAACCAATAAATACAGACACAGA